CAGATGAGGCCTTGAGGAGGGGATGGATCTTGCCAAGTGTGGCACAGGCCTGACTGAATGCAACAAGCCTTTATTAATCGGTATACCCTCGATGTTGAGTGGGATAGGGTATGAAAAAGCCATGATTCTGTCCTGTAAAGCTTACAAGCTCTAGATTCTTTTCTTTTTATTAAGATTAGTTTCTTAATAAGCTTTATAAGTGACAACTTCAGGGAGAGGGGCTATGTGGTGACCTTGTGAGGGTTTTCCAGAACTGTTATTCATTCGGCCGTCTGTGAGCAGATCCCCTGGGTTTTTAATGAATCATGGTCTTCTCAGCACTGCCTGGGCCTTCTGCACCCCCTGCAGGTTCATGGAGTTTGAGGCTGAGGAGGAGATGCAGATTCAGAACACACAACTGACGAGTGGGCCCCAGAGCCTGCCTCCGGCAGCCCCTCTGAAACTTGATCCTCCAGGACCACCTGCCCCTGAGGTTTGCCAGCAGCCAGGTAAGACCACCCAATGCCAACAGGAGCCCGTGGGCCAGGAGCTCAGAGAGAGTCACACAGAAGCCAGTCACTTCCATCCAGGGGGTGGCATGTGATGTTCGAAACAGGAGAGGCATAAGTTCCCTTTGTCCCAAACTAGATGTTGATCTTGGCCAAGTAAACCAATGGCTCTCTTACTGAGACTGTAATTGAGGCACATGATGCCTCATCTGCCTAACAAATGAGGGCTGGACCAGGGGGCTTTTTGGAATTTCAGGGGTTCTTAGAGTCCTCCTCCAGATTCGCAGACTGTCCAGCTCCTAGGTATTCTCCCCTGGCTGGTACTGTTGTCAGGTCGGCCAAATCCAGTCTGATCCATCTCAGTGTACCCAGGTCAACGCCCTTACAAGTGGGGAGTGGGGGTGGGAGGGGGTGGGAGGCAGGAGCTGAGGTCTCAGCACTGCTTCCCATTTCTGCTTCCCGCCTTGCCCATCAGTGTACATTCCCAAGAAGGCGGCCTCCAAAGCACGGGCTCCCCGCCGGCGGCAGCGCAAAAGCCAGAGGCCTCCGGCCCCTGAGGCCCCCAAGGAGATCCCACCAGAAGCGGTGAAAGAGTACGCCGACATCATGGAAGAGCTGGTGGGGAGCCACTTGGCCCCTGAGGAGTCAGATGGGAGACAGGAAGAACAAGAAGAGCAGCAGGAGGAAGGGATATATCCAGATGCTGGTCTTCTGAGCTATATTGATGAGCTGTGTTCTCAGGAGGTCTTTGTCTCCAAGGTGGGCTAGCCCAAGAGCTGTGGTTTCTAGCAGGTCCTAGGGTGGGAACTCCAGGGAACATCTAGGGTTTTGCCAGAGGCCTTTGGGGACTAGACTCTCTTTGGTGCTGAGGAAAGTGTGTAGCTGGTGGTTTCCAACCACCCAGGTAGAGGGTGGTGAGTGGGGAGGTGCATGACTGCCTCTTGGTTCATGTTACCTCCTCTCAATGACTCCCATCACTTTCACTTCTGTTCCCCAGGTGGAAGCGGTCATTCACCCTCAGTTTTTGGCAGATCTGCTGTCCCCAGAACAACAGAGGGATCCCTTGGCCTTAATTGAGGAGCTGGAACAAGAAGAAGGACTCAGTCTTGCCCAGGTAAACCTGGGAGGTAGAGAATATCAGAATGAAAAACTTACATGGCTTCGCCTAACCTTACATTGTCTTGGATGATGTGGCTTCTGGAGAGGGACAGCTTTAGAATCCAGCTTTGGGTGTAGAACAAGCAGACGAGGGACCATGGAAAAGGGGAATTTAGGGCTCAAAGCATGGCAGGAATAAGACCCAATAAGGTGGAGAAAAAGAGTGGTGGTATCTGGCTTTGATGCCATCACTTAAGCCACTTGCTTGTACCCCCGTCCTGCCTAAATACCATCTCCTCCCACCCAGCCTGCTACCCCTTCTCACAATCACATATAGAACAGTATTTGTCCATTCTCCTTCCAGCTGGTCCAGAAGCGACTCCTGGCCTTGGAAGAGGAGGAGGATGCTGAGGCACCTCCAAGTTGCAGTGGAGCCCAGTCAGATTCAAGTCCTTCCATTTCTGATGAGGATGAAGATGGGGGTGGGCGGCTTCGGCCCTCACCTGGGCCTCGGGGGGCTGGGGGCTCCCTCCGTCTTGGAAAGGCTGCTTCTCTTGGAGAGCAGGCAAGAGAAGTGTCTGGTGGGCAGGAGCGGGCCCTACATGGCCTGAGGGTGATGGGCAGGGATGGGAATACCCTGCCATCCCCCAGTGGCTGGGGCCTGCAACTAGAACTTGCAGCTCCACAGGGGACTCAAGGGCCCCCGAGTATAGAGAGGGGAGGGTCTGGGGAGGTTACAAACCAGATATCTCCACTGCAGGATGACCTCCCGGGAGGTGCTGGGTCCCCTGGGCACTTCCTGGGCACTGACAGGACTTCCGAGACTCTGCCCCTTCGCTGGCAGGAAGGCCCCGAGCTAGAGCTCGTTTCCTGTCTGGATGTTGGACTTGCAGGGCTGGCTCCTCTGCAAGGACAGGGGTTAGGAAAGCAGACCCTGGGGCTGCAGCCAGGACAAGAGGTAGAGGGTATTGGAGTGGCTCCTCAGAGCATGGAGCCATCGGTATTGTCCCAGAAAGGCTCTTCAGAGGCCACGTGGGGAGATGACAGTGGTCTCCCCACAGTTCAGAGTTATGATCAGAACCCTTCACCTAGAGCAGCTGGGAATAGGGACGAGGCCGGGGCTTCTCTCAGCCCGAGGCTATGGCTCAGCAGTGAGATGGATGTTGTAGGCTTGGAGTTGCCCTTACAGATCGAGGAGGTCGTAGAGAACCTCCATGAGGGGGAATGTGTAACTGAGCCTCAGGGGGATGGCCAGGCACTGGGCTCTAGAAGCAGAATTTCCCTGGGCCCCAGAGAAGCCCTAGCACCTGGGGATGTGGGAAGCAGTGCAGTTCCCTGTGGAGACACGGATGCCACAGTTGCCCTAGAAGAGAGAAACTATTGTGGCCTGTCGGCACCTCAGACGGCCAACAGCCCGGCCTCAGAGCCTGGAAAGGACATGGCACAGAGCCCTGGGACTCTGCAGGATCCTGGTGATCTGTGGCCTGAAGATTGCCCCCCTCTGCTAGAAAGCAGAATTGGGGCCTCTACACTGGGGGCTTCTAAAGAAACCCTCCTGCCTGCAAGTCAAGGCAGTATCCTTTTCCTGGGGACCCAGGACACCTCCTCCTTTACTGAGGCCAGCCCAGAGGCAGGGAGCAGTCGCAATTCCATTTCTCCTCTGTTGGAAACCATGTATGTCAACCTACTAGACATCAGGGATGCCTGTGGCCTCCAGCTGGGAGTCAGTGAGGATATTTGCCCCCTAACGTTTAATTCTTATGACCCCCAAGGAGAAGGCAGGGAGAATACTGATTTATCTGAGCCTAAAGACCTTGCTCCCTTACCAGGGGATCAAGAATCTTCTGGCCATGAGAACCCCAAATCAATACCTCCTCAGGGCCTTAGAAGCACTTCCCCCAGCTGGGGAACCAGGGATGCCTTAGTTGCGAGAGAAGCCTCTCCTGTTATTGAAGCATGCAGTTCAGTAGATGGGGCCAAAGTCGAGGAGGAAGAGGAGGAGGAAGACAAGGAGCTGTCCAACTTTGCCTACCTCTTAGCCTCTAAACTTAGCCTCTCGCCAAAGGGGCTTCCCCTCAGTTCTTGCCCTGCTTCAGGCTTGCTCGCCTCAGGGTGTCCTCGGGGGACCCAGAGAGCATCGCACTCCCTTGCTCCTAAGGCAACAGGCCTCAGCCAGCCTCCTGCTGCCAAGTCTGGGAAGCGAGCCCTAGTTGGAGGACCAGTCCCTGTTGAAAAGAGGCCTTTACAGGGAGATGAACCAGGGGCACCTGGGGCTCTGGGAGTGATTCGCACCTCCCAGCCTCGTAAAAGAAAGTGCGATGGTTTCTCCAAGAGCAGGAGGAAGAAACGTCGCAGCCAGTAGGGGGCAGCCAGACCGTCCTGTCCCACCTGCTAATCCCTGTGGGTGGGGGCCCCCTGGAGGAGACACTCTCTCCCTGGCAGCCTGTGAATAGACACCAGACACTTGCTCTCAGCCCTATGTTTTGTTGTTCTGTGCCTGGGGCAAAGGGGTGTCACGCTGGCTAGGTTGGAGGTGGTCCCCTGGGTGAGAGGTTGGGGGAAGCACTTTTGGAAGTTGTATGAGAAAAAAAATAAAGCTTTTGTTGTTGGCAAATGCTGTCTGTGTGCCCTCACTTCTTTGCTGCTAGATGGGGTGAGATGCTGAAAAGGATGAAAGGAGGTGGGGGCGGCCTCAGATTTGATGGATCCAGATGGCTTTCCAGTCTCCAACCTTACTGAGGTATCCTGATGAACCTGGGGCTGAGGGTCCTGTAATTACTTTATTCAGACGCCTGGATGTGGTGTTGGGGAGTGCTTCTCTGGACATCTTGCCATGATCTGTCTCCCATAGAAGTCCCTAGATGGAAAATTGCTTCTTTTTAACCTGTCAGATTTCTGGGATAGATCTCTATTTCCTTAACCTAACTTATTTTCAAAATGTGCCAAGACATACCACCTTCTATAGGAGGGGCCTATTCTTGCTCCTTGAAAGGCAGCTGGACAGAAGGGACTTCTATGTCCCCAATTCATCGTATGGCAGAAACTGGAGTGGCCGGTCTGAGCTGCAGGTAGGACGGCTGGGCCCTGATACAGCTCTCTGCCCCGACCACAGGGGGCATCAACCTTAGTATGATTATTAAATATGAAATGGTGTTCAGCTATTCTTTAATCTCTAATGAGAACAGAACAAGAGGGAACAGGCTGAAAAGAGGTTCAGGAGGAGGCCTGTTACAGGCTGTGACAACAGGAGGGAAGATACCAGATCCACATGATCCATCCACCCCCAAGTGAGGACTAATCGGCTGTGGCCAAGAGATCTGACCTTGGGAACCTTCAGGGTCTTCCCAGGGCAGCCTGCAAACACTACTTCCTTTCCTCCCCAGCTAATGATACCATCAATGTGACTGAGCTTCGTTTTTTTTTTTTTTAAATAGATATAGATATATATTTATATATAAAATAGTTTCTTACAAAATAAAACCAAACAAACGAAAAATGAAAACCAACTTAAAAAAAAAAAATCAACGACAATAATGAAAAGTCAAGCAGGACAGAGGTGGGCTTGAGGCCCAGGGGTGGCCCCTGGCGCGGCCCTGAGTCTGTGGGCGGGTGCGAGCTGGTGGGGCGGGGGGGTCGAGGTGCTCAGTCGCCCTTCTGCTTGGGGGCTTGCACAGTCCCGTTGGCCAGAGCGGTGGTGCTGCCTGGGGAGGAGGCGGGAGGTGTCTGGGAGGGGCGCAGGTAGGTGCTGAAGAGCTTTCCGTGGAGCGGGTGGTGGAGGGAGAAGTCCTGGAACTCACCTGGAGGGGAAAGGAAAGACCTGAGAAGAGGAAGAGGTGCCCGGCTCTCCTCACTGTCTCAAAGCCAAAGTACTGTCCCCTACCACCCTGGCTGTATTCTGGCCTCACCCTGAGGATGTCCTGATCCCCCCAAGCCGGCCACCAGCCCTGTGCTGCTGACACCCCGACTGCCTGCACGGGGCCTGCAGGGGATGACTCACAGAGGGAGAGGCCCTGGCGGGCCCCCGCCTGGCACAGCTCGGCATGCAGGGTCCTGGCAGCGGGGCGCGGCGAGCCGAGCAGCAGGTGTAGGATGGTGCTGAAGCCGTCTCTGTACAGCAGGCGGCCGGGGCCCTTGGCCTGCTCCTCGGCCTGCTCCTCTGGCTCCTCGGCAAAGAGCTGGGGGGAAAAGGGAGGCAGGTCAAGCTCTTTCCTTGGGACATTGCCCTGCATGTCTGTCTGACAGGCTCCTCCTTTTTTGGAATTATAATGGTCATAGGTGCTTCCTTCTACCTGTTCCCAGTGAGGCCTCAGCAGAGACACCCGGGCTCTGCAGTTCAGTTTGGCACTGGGGTGGACACCAAGCCCCTACTAGCCAGAAGCTCCTGGGAACAGCTCACCGTGTGTGGGGTGAGCACAGGCACTCCAGGGCCGACCCCCACAACTTCCTGGTACCTCAAAGGCCAGGCGAGTCAGGTCCTCCAGGCTCCTGCCCCCACTCAGAGCTGCCAATGCAAGGGCCACGTCTCGGAAGTCCACCAAACCATTGGCATCCTGGGAGGTGGGAGAGAACCCAAGGCAATGTAGGGACCAACCCCGTACCCGACCTCCTGCTCTGGATCTCGGCTCCCCGCTCTTCTCAGCAGGCAGGGGGGTGACCCCTGTCCTGGGTCTGCTTCCCCTGGAACAGTGGGCCCCAAACTCTCCAGGATTCCTGACAGTTCTCTCGGGTCATGGGTTCGCTCATATTATACCTCTTCAAGTCACCTGGTGACAAAGCTCTCCTATGAAGGGATCTCCCGGGAATGATGGAATCCCTCAGGTATGTTTCAGTTACCATCATTTCTGATATACAATCAGGGCATTTCAGACCCCAAGCTGGAAAAACTGGTTCTCTTCTGACTCTGGCCTATGTGGGAGAACTGGTCCAGCAAACTAATAAAAGGGGGCCACTGGCAAAATTTCTTACCAAGAAAAAAAAAAAACCTAAGGATGCCTGCTGCACTCTATCTAGGGGGGGACCAGGGCACCTGGGTTTTGGCTCTGCTCAGCTACAGGCTCTGATAGGAAGCTCCTTTCAGGGACAGTCTGCCTCAGTCTGAGGAATCAGCACATCTGGGTCACTGTCTGTCCCTTCAGAGGATGTTGAGAAGCATGGTCTGCATCTCAGATCACAGAGAACTCCTTAGGACCATTGGGGGTTGTTCATAAACACTGCGAATCATCTGAGGTTAATATAATTCAACAGGACAACCTGGCTAAGTCCCAGGAAATATATGGTTCATCAAGATTCTTGAGAAAGTTCAGGAATCCTCCAGAGAAGCTCTGAGACATTTAAAATAAATCTGCCCAAGTATTACAGATACTTCTGGGTGTTAAACTCTCAACTGTCTGACCTGTCCAGTGTCGTCTCCTCCATATGTCACCTTCCCCACCCACTGCTCACAAGGTCATGTGATCTCCTTGTGATCTCTCACAAGGTCATCTCCAGCATGTCTCAGAAATTTATGGATCTCACTGACCATTATTTCTCCATCATTCTTTCCCACAATGACTAAAACACTGCTCCTCAATGTATAAAAAAATGCATCTCCCAGGGGCCTCAGAAGATGTCTGTCTACCAACAGCTATTAGAGCATCCAGTCTCCACTCCAGATTGCCCATCCACACAGCCCCTGGGATACTGTCCTTAAAATCTTGAGCAGCCCTGCCCCTTTACCTGCTGGAAGTAGCTAAAGGCACCAGCCACCGTCTGGGAGTCAGAGAGCTGCAGCTGCTTGGCAAACTCTTCCTGACTGATCCTTCGACTCCGGCCTGGCTCTGTCCCAGCGTCTACACAGCCAGGGGACAGCCTACAAGGGAATGTCGTTGAAGGTGCAGTGCTGACTCAGTTTTCTTCCGGAAACACCACCCACCAGCACCTTGGCCCCAGCCCCAAGAATCCTTCCAGCACAGGTACATCTGGTATTTTTCTAAGAGGTACTCTGACTCACAGTCCCTGGAAAGCCATTCCTACCTTTGCCATTGGGGTTCTTACTTTTTTTTCCTCCTTCCTTTTACTCCATTATCTTTCAAAACATTCTTCTCATCTTCCTACTTTTTTTTTTTTTTGACTTTTCTTCCTCCTACCCATTTTCCCTTTTCTCTTCTCCTTTTCCTCTTCCCCATACCCTCATCTCCAAGGTCACTTACCCAGCCTTCTGAAGCACTTTGCCCAGTTCCCAGAGCTGTGGCTCCAAGGCCACCTTCAGCCGGCCCACCACAATCACGGGCAAGCTCTCTACAAACTCACACTCTGTGGCTGGAATGCCCAGGGCCCTAGAGGATGAAGAGGGATGGGATGCAGGGGGAATGAGTTAGAAGATACATCTGATTGTGTTCACATATCACATTCAGTCCATCACTGATTCTGGCCGGCTGACCAGGGAGAGGAGATCAGGCCCCTTTCACTCTCCTATCGCTCACACATTAGCTATCCAATAGCCCTTCCCCCCGACCGCCTGCCTCCCCAGCTACAGTTTTGCTTCGAAACCTCACTCAGCGCTCCTCCCCACTCCTGTGGTTCCTCTGCCCTGTATATCTGCTTTTAGGAAACACCCTGTGGGACACTCACTGTGCCATAACCCTCTGGACATTGTTGGCATAGAGGGTGGGGTCCCTGCTCTCCTCCGGGCTGGGGCGGTATACAGGTAGGAACTGAAACACACACAGACACAGGCTTCTCATCAGGACTTCAAAGTCAGGGGCGACCACTCCCACCCTCTTCCCCTGAAGACCCCCAGCTCAGCCGATAGCTGCTCTCCTACCCCACCCTGGGAGTTATACCTCCACATCCACGATGCTGCAGGGCTGGGAGGCTGTTAGCCAGAGGACTTTGAGTCTAAGAGAAAAGAGACCTCAGATGCTCACCAATCTCTAACTATGGGTACCCCCCCAGCCCAAGGATGGGAGTGGCAAAGTTCTGCCCACTGATATAAAAATCAGCTACTAGCTGTAGTCAGCTGGATGAGTATGTAGCTGGGAGATAGAAGGGCCAGAAAAGTGGTAGGTGGGATAAGACAACACTGCAGGGCTCTGCCAGAGAAAGAAGTATAGGTGAGGGGTTTGAGGAACTACGAGAAGGAGCAAGCCTGGTGCTGTGGATAACCGAGAGAGAAAAGGTTGCAAAGTGAGTCAGAAGGCACCATAACCACAGCAGGAATGATTAGCAGGGATAGCTGAGGGCACTTTCTGATAATATCTCAGGAGATCAGAACAAAACAAAGGGACATAGGCAGCCCCTTCTCTAGAGTTCTCTCAGTTCCAGGATGAACAAGGGCAATTCACCTTGTCTGGAGGGTAGAAGACGGGCCATGAATTCTGGTGGTCCCCACTCCCCACCCTCACCCCCAGGAATACCATTACTCACACTCCAGGGCCCCTCCAAGCCCAGCTGGTAGTGTCCTGTGGGAGAAGCAGAGATGAGAGGAGAAAGGCATTACTTTTCTTCCCTGAACTGACTAATCCTCTCTGAGCAGAGGCCCGCGCGCCGACCCAGCCCCACCTCCACACACATATCTCGTGGCAGCACCAGCAGTTTTCACTGACTCGCATGCAGGGTGGACTTGAGCCTCCCTCCCCTAGACGGCAACTTACCAGACTGTTGGGGTAGCGGATGAGGACAGGCTGCACAGGCACCCCCGCGATGAAGGCTCCTAAATCCCATTTCCACCCCCACCCCCAAGGCAGAGGTTAGTGCATGGAGGCAGCTGGAGGGCATGGAGTACAGGGGTCTGGATCAGCTCCACAAGGAAATCTGGCTGTGCTCCATTTCATTTATAATTTCCTCTGACTCCTGGAGACTTTCCAGTGTCAGCTAGGAGGTTCTCTATCTCCCTCCCTCCCCCACCCCGCCACTTTTCTTGGGTTATTCCAGAGTCCCTCTCCATATATGGGGCTCCTTTCCTACAGCCCTCCCATCTACTGCTGCTTTATTCACCTGGTTTGAATTTCAGCAGAGCCTTCTTGTTGGAACAGGTACCCTCAGGAAAGAACAGTACCTGGGGGGTGGGGTGGGGATCAAGGGACCAGAATGAGGTGGGTGGAAGGGGAGAAGAGGCAAGAGAAGCCTCTTCAGGAGCACATAAAATATGAGGAGGTCCTCCAACCTTTGACCCACCTGAGGCCACTTGCCTCCGGAGGTAGCCCGCCTTCGGACCTCTTCCACCACTCTGCGCCGAGAGGCTGGGTCATGCCTGGACACTAGGATGGCTTGGTTGAAGCGAAGAAGGGCTGGGGTAAAGACAGAAGACAAGGAGTCACTTGGTTCTTCCCCAGGGGCACTGATACCAGAGCTCCCTGCTCCCTTCTAAGAACAGAGCTCAGAATCTAAATAGGCTGCTTCACAAATAATATTAATTTGCATTTCATTTGCCAGCATCAGTCGATATTGCTTCTAACTTCCCCCTTCTCCACCTGGGACCAGCTCTCTCCAGAGTCTGTCTTTGCCCAGAGTAGCCATCTCTCCCCTTCACTCCTCTTAATCTCTCACCTCCAATGACGGGAACGGAAAGGTTCTCAGCTCGAGACACAACCTTGGGCAGGTCACAGGGCAGCAGAACAATGGGGTCAAAGAAAGTAGAGTGAGGGGCGGCCACCAGGACGGGGGCTTGAAGGCGAGAGGCCCGCTGGCCCCGAACTCGAATCCGGAGGAAACCCAGCAAGAAAAAGAGCAGGCGGCTGAGGCCCAGCACCCCATGGTGGCACACAGTCCTGCAGGGCAAAGCTGGGCATCAGTGGAGGCAGCTATCCTGACTGCCACTCATCCCCAAGATCAGACACCCAGGAAAGCAGGTGCCCTTCTTCTGCCCTCTATCACCTGGCCAAGAGCCTAAAGTCTCTCATTAGTCGGGGACATATCCGCATGCTTCATTTAGAGTTAAGGTCCTGGGTACCAGGGTCTGAGCTTGGCTGACTCATCTCACCTACCCAGGCTGGGTAGGAGAACTTCAGAACCCTCCTCCCTCATCCTCTTCTCAAAGAGAAAGAATGGATAGCAGGGAAGAGAAAGGAGAAATTGGGTCTCCGAGGGCTGATCCCTCACTTACTTCCTCCATCCGGTAATTGGCTCCCGAAGCTGCTCCTCAGTAAGACCAGCGACTTGCAGCCAGGCAAAGGGCCAGAGGAGAAAGAGGACGATAAAGGCCAGAAGCACTCGGATGGGGGCCAGCAGTACCCCTAGGAGGCAGAACTGCAGAGGGTGGGAGAGAAGAGCCACTTCAGGGCTGCGAGATGCTCCCTAGAGGCTTCCCTCCCTCACAAGGATGGACCCAGGAGCAGAGGGCCATCACCCCACCCCTGTGGATCAGAAGATGAGCAGTGTGGGAACAGGAGACGGGACTGGAACCCAAGGTGGGACGAAGATACCCATAAGGGGAAGAGGATAAAAGATTAATAGGATCAGGGGCCTCACTTTCATGTCTCCCAGTTGGCCCCACCACACCTACAAAATTAAAAGGCTGTTAAGAGCAGTCAAGAATAACCAGTGTCAAAGGGCCCAGCACTATGTCTGGTGTAGAGTAGGCTAGAGACAGATCCTCCTCCCCCCACCCTCTTCCATAAATAGATCCCACGTCCAGCAGAAACCAGGTGCAGAGTCCTTTTCACCGTGGGCCGGAAAACAGAGAGAGGTTCACTTTTCAGACCCAGGCCAGTCTCTAGTTCTGCCCAGCCGCACGCCCCCAGTTCTAGGAACTGGGGGGAGAAAGAGAGTTCGGCCTTACTCCACATGGCAGGGGTTGCCAGGGTGACTGGAGGGGCTGCCCTGGGGAACGTGCAGGTAAACAAACCGAGCTCCAGGAGCCGACCTCGGGGGAGATGAAGGCAACGGAAACCTTGGACACTCCCTTCTCACACCATCCCGCCGCTCCCCCAGGCCCGCGCGGCCCTCCACTTCCTGTAGCCAACCCCCTTCTTTACTGCCCTCCCCGCCCCCATCAGGAGGTGCTGCAGTGCGCGCGGAGGAGAGGGTAGAGCCGAGTGGGGGGGGGTGCTGAAACGGCAGGGGGTGCAGGTTCCGGGCCCAGCAACCTCTTCCAAGTCAGAGCCTCGGAGAAGCACTCAGCACGCCTCTGCCCCCACCCCCGCTCTTCGTAGCCTCCAACTCCCTTCGAGCCCATCTGCATCCGCAGGATGTAATCCGCAGTCTCCAGGGTGCTCCATCTCCCCCACCCCTGGGTCCCCTGCAGTCCTCCAGGCTCACCTAGTCCATTCTCACACACCTTCAGCTTGCTTATCGCCCAAGCCCGCGTCCTCTCCAGGGCTCCTTGACCACCCCCGCCGCCCCCACGTGCGCACCCCGGACTCCCCGCCCGGCTAGCCTCTCACCCACCTCCTTCCTGGATCTCCATCCCCATCTGCGTCAAGGCTCTAAAAGGCCTCCTTTTTCTATCCGCGCGAGTCCTCCGGGCGCCCCCCGCCCACACCTTACCTTAACCCTCTGGAGGCGGGAGAGATGTAACTCGTGCACGAAAGGGTTGGGGGGCGCTGGGGGTCCGGGGGTAGGGTCGAGGGGGGCCCAGTCCCCCGGACTTCCCTGGCTCATAGCGGCGGGAGAAGGTGGGAGGGCGGGCGCCCCGGCCCGGCCCCGACCCAGCCCCGGGCCCCTCTTTGCAGAGCAGCGGCTGCGCCTGCAGCGGCGGTGGCGCTCTGGCCGCGGCCCCGCCTGGTGCCGGGCGCCGAGGGGCGGGGAGCAGGCGGCGCGGCCTGGCCCGCGTTGTCAGGGAGCCGGCCGAGGGGCGGGGCTTCCAGCGCCCGGGTGCCCCTGCTCCTCCGCGACCGCAGCCGCGTCCGCAGCCCCTCGGGCCATTGTTACGAGGCTGCGGGTTGCGGGAGCGCGATGTCCGCCTGCGGGTTGCCCCCTGGCCTGGCCGTCCGTGAGTTAGCTCTGGGAAGACTCGGCCTCCGCCTCCCCGCAGGCCTCCGGCTCGGAGCCGGTTTAGGGCCGCGGGGAGCGAACGAAGCGGAGAACGCCCTACGACCCCGCCCGGGCGTGGAGGTCACCCTGCAAGCGCAGATAGGGTGGGGCCCTCCGGCGGGTGAGCGCGGAAGGGTGGGCGCGCAGTGCGCGGAGGCCCGCAGCTCCCGTGCGACGCGGCCCGAGCTGTCCCTGCGGGCTCCCGGGCCCCATCCATCTCTCGGAGGCCGACCACCTTTCCTTCCTGGTCGTGTCGACGCCATCGCGCGTGAACTTGAGCGCTCGCGCCCTCTGGCGGCCGCCTTCTGTCTCACGGCTCAGCGTCCGCGTACTACCTGCCTTAGGCAGGGCTGCTGTCGGTTGTAAGGACTCCTTGAGCCATGCAGACTCGGGTCACAAACTCTTAAGAGCCCAACTAGACCTGGCTAGGGACGGGCAGTGAGAACCTGGAAAGCTGGGATACGTCTCTTTTTCCTGTCTTTCTATTTCTCTTTCTTCCTCTCTCCAATGCTTNTCAATTTCATCAAGAGGCTTTTTAGTTCCTCTTCACTTTCTGCCATAAGGATGGTGTCCTCTGCATATCTGAGGTTATTGATATTTCTCCCAGAAATCTCTATTCCAGCTTGTGCTTCTTCCAGCCCAGCATTTCTCATGATGTACTCTGCATATAAGTTAAATAAGCAGGGTGACAATATATAGCCGTAACATACTCCTTTTTTCCTGGAAAACTCATAAACCGTTGTCATCAGGTTGTGGTGAGATTAGGGAATTGGGTAGACTTTGAGATCCACACCCAGTGACACAATCAGAAAGATAATTCCTGTGACAGAAAGGAAATAAAAGCCTCATTGCTTTTGGAAAGAATTTGCCTTCAGTTCACCCTGCTTTAGGGCCCTCTCCTTTGTCAGTCACCATTTCTTGAGGGTAATGGAAACAATGGCAGGTCAATGGGCTACTGGGTCATTGAGTAATATTAATCCTTTACTGGAAGGGAGACCAGGCAAAAGTCAGGAGTCACTTCTAGCTAGACCCCCTTCCCTCCCTTCTTGCCCCATAATTTACCTACTTAACATTCAAATTGGCACTCGCTAACGGTATTTGCCACCTGCCTTTGTCGATATTAAATCCTGTGCTGCAATAGCAGCTGACCTTCAGCACACCCTGAATGGAGTTAAGGGTGGAAAGTGAGGCAGTGTGTGCTCCAGGGAAACTGGTGGAACAGGTTTTTAGGTAGGTAGATATTTTCAGGAACTTATTTTATGATCCCAATCCTTGCATCTTCTCATAGCTAGAAAAGCACTAAATCCTTCATAGTGACATCAGCTCCTAGCAGAAAACGTTTTGGAAGTTGAGTGCTTGATTGCATTGAACTCCCCTTTCACCAGAATCACATACAGTGACCTCCTCCTGCTGCCTCTCTGGAGCAGTTTCTCAGAGCTATCTGAGGTGTTGTCTCCTGGGCCGCAGTCCTGATTCTTCCTCCAGTAAAACTTAACTCTCAGTTGTCATGTTGTGCATGTTTTTGAGTCGCCACTTAGGAGAGCAGCCAGCATTCTCAGAGAAATAAAAGGATATCCTAGGCAATATTTATTTCTTACATATTTTTAGAGATGATTCCATATCTCTTTAATTTTAGCAATTTACTTTTTTCACCTTTTTTTGAGATATTAATGCCATATATGTTAAGTTTGAAGTGTACAGTGTGATTATTAGATACAGATATACATTTTACCTATTATTTAAGGGAAACCAGGTTCTGTGTGTCTTGGTTTTTCTAAAGTAGTTTCAATATTTTTATAATTTCATTTTTTTCAATTAAGGCAATTCATTAAAAGCATAATTGCACATAAGTTGGAGAAGGCAATGGCAACCAACTCCAGTATTCTTGCCTAGGAAGTCCCATGGACGGAGGGCCCTGGTAGGCTGCAGTCCATGGGGTTGCAAAGTCGGACATGACTGAGCAACTTCCCTTTCACTTTTCACTTTAATGCATTGTAGAAGGAAATGGCAACCCACTCCAGTGTTCTTGCCTGGAGAATCCCAGGGATGGGGGAGCCTGGTGGGCTGCCGTCTATGGGGTTGCACAGAGTTGGACACGACTGAAGCGACTTAGCAGCAGCAGCACATAAGTTGCTTTTTATGCTTCTAATATTTTCAGTTTAGTTCAGTTGCTCAGCGCTGAGCACGCCAGGCTTCCCTGTCCTTCACCATCTTCTGGAGCTTGCGCAAACTCAACTCCCATCGAGTCGGTGATGCTATCCAACCATCGCATCCTCTGTCATCCCCCTTTTCTCCTGCCTTCAATCTTTCCCAGCATCAGGGTCTTTTCCAATGAGTCAGTTCTTCACATCAGGTAGCCAAAGTGTTAGAGCTTCAGCTTCAGCATCAGTCCTTCCAATGAATATTCAGGACTGATTCCCTTTAGGATTGACTGGTTGGATCTCCTTACAGTCCAAGGGACTTTTGTCTTCTCCAACACCACAGTTCAAAAACATCAATTCTTGGGCACTTAGCCTTCTTAATGGTCCAACTCTCACATCCATACATGACTACTGGGAAATCATAGCTTTGACTAGATGGACCTTTGTTGGCAAAGAAATGTCTCTGCTTTTTAATATGCTGTCTAGGTTTGTCATAGCTTTTCTTCCAAGGACCAAGTGTCTTTTAATTTCATGGCTGCAGTCACCATCTGCAGTGATTTTGGAGCCCAAGAAAATAAATTCTGTCACTGTTTCCCCATCTATTTGCTGTGAAATGATAGGACCAGATGCCATGATTTTCACTCTTTGAATGTTAGGTATTAAGCCAATTTTTTCACTCTCCTCTTTCACCTTCATTAAAAGGTTCTTTAGTTCCTCTTTGCTTTCTGCCATAAGGGTGGTGTCATCTGCATATCTGAGCTTATTGATATTTCTCCTGGCAATCTTGATTCCAGCCTGTGCTTCATCCAACCTGGCATTTTGCATGATGTACTCTGTGAAACTCTAGAAGTTTTACCCTTCTGTAACTCTAGAAGTTAAATAAGCAAGGTGACAATATACATGCTTGATGTGTTCCTTTCCCAATTTGGAACCAGTCCATTGTTTTATGTCTGGTTCTAACTGTTGCTGCTTGTCCTGCATACAGATTTCTTAGGAGGCAGGTAAGGTGGTCTGGTATTCCCATCTCTTAAAGAATTTTCCACAGTTTGTTGTGATCCACACAAAGGCTTTAGTGTAGTCAGTGAAGCAAAAGTAGATGTTTTTCTGGAACTCTCTTGCTTTTTTTTATGACCCAGTGGATGTTGGCAATTTGATCTCTGGTTCCTTTGCCTTTTCTAAAGTGAAGTGAAGTCACTCAGTTGTGTCCGACTCTTTGTGATCCCATGGATTGTAGCCTACCAGGCTTCTTTGTCCATGGGATTTTCCAGGCAAGTGTACTGAAGTTGGTTGCCATTTCCTTCTCCATGCCTTTTCTAAACCCAGCTTGAATGTCTGGAAGTTCTGGCTCATGTATTGTTGAAGCTTAACTTGGAGAATTTTGAGCATTACTTTGCTAGCGTGTGAGATGAGTGCAATTGTGCGGTAGTCTGAGCATTCTCTGGCATTGCCTTTCTTTGGGATTAGAGTGAAAACTGACCTTTTCCAATCCTGTGACTGCTGCTGAGTTTTCCAAATTTGCTGGCATATTGAGTGCAGCACTTTAATGGCATCATCTTTTAGGATTTGAAATAGCTCAGCTGGAATTCCATCACCTCCACTAACTTTGTTTGTAATGCTGCTTCCTAAGGACCACTTGACTTCGCACTCCAGGATGTCTGGCTCTAGATGAGTGATCACATTATTGTGGTTATTTGGTCATTAAGATCTCTTTTGTGTAGTTCTTCTGTGTATTCTCGCCACCTCTTCTCAGTATCTTGTGCTTTTTTCAGGCCCATGCCTTTTCTGTCCTTTATTGTGCCCATCTTTTCATGAAATGTTCCCTTGGTGAAGATCAAA